AGAGTTGGAAGGACCTTAGAGGTCTTCTAGTCCAACCCCCTGCTTAGGCAGGAAACCCTACACCACTTCAGACAAATAATTATCCAACATCTTCTTAAAAACGTCCAGTGTTGGCGCATTCACAACTTCTGGAGGCAAGTTGTTCCACTGGTCAATTGTTTCTAACTGTCAGGAAATTTCCATCCATTGCTTCCTGTCATACCCCAGGTGCTTTGGAGAATAGGAGTTTATGTTTGCCTTGTAGGAGGAGAACTTAGTTGGTCTATGGGGACAAAAAAATATCAGAGCGTAGCCCCTTTTCCAGCTAACTCATTAAATGGGTTAAAGCTTTCTTGAGCTGCAGCTCATTTGATCACATGTATAAAGTGGCTAAACTGATGTAGGATTTAAAGTGGGGAAGGGAGGAAATGAAGAGAAGAATGTTTATACAGATACAGGATGTACATGAGACAGATTATAAGTACCTTATCAATTAACAATTGAGATGTGTTCAAAACCCATTACATTTATTCAGCCTTTCTGCCTAAAACCTTTTGATGTGAATCGAGCATTCTCTTGCTCATTTTTTTTTCTTTTTCTTTTATATCAGAGAGTGAAGTACAGGAGTCAAAATTAAATGAAAAAGTTTAAAAGTTTGATGTAGAAATAAATAAATAAAAATTGTTTTTTACTAGCAGTTCTGTGGGCGTGGCTTATTTTGTGGGCATGGCTTGGCAAATTTATGTTTCAGATTGGAGATGGGAAATAAAATATATTGTAAAACTTTTTTTAAAAAAAGGCCAAAGAAAGCAGCAACCTGAGCCACGCTGAGTTGAACACAGGAGAACTGGAGGGTCTGAAGAGTGTGTGGTTTTGTTCACTGCCTGTCAGCTGCAGGGGGAAGGGGGGCAGCAGCTGAGCAAGCAAGCCAGAAATCTGACAGCTGACAGTACCCTGCTGATGAGTAAACTTGCTCACGAGCAAACTGCAGATTAGAGGCAGCCGGCAGATCTTGGCATGCTTGTTTGGCTGCTCACCCACCCATCAACCCCCCCCCCCAGAGCTCACAGGCAGCAAACGAAACTGCTGCCACCTGCCTCTGTGCATCGACGTGGTGGGGAGGCTTGATCCCACTTAGGAAGCGGTGGTTGCGAAGTCTCAGGGCTCCCTAAGCAGCCCATGCTGCTTACCTGTGTGTAGGCACTAGGAGGCAGTTGTGTGGATGCACGTGGCGAAGACGAGGCAGGGCGAGCGTCGGAGCGAGCCAGTTCAGGGGCATGGCCAGCCACGCCCAATTACCACTACTGCTTCTCCCGAACTGGGAGCAACCCACCTCTGCTTCAGAGGTTCCAGAATTTACATCCCAGATTAACTTGGTTCCTAAGCCAAAGCCAAAGCCAAGCCAAGGTCATTATGGCTGGAGTTTACATGGGATTCCAGTTCTTGGGTCAACCAACCCAACCAAAGACTTGCGGAGCAACCAAGTGACAGTTGCAGAGCAGCACAAGGAAGGCTCAGTCATATCATGACGTTTCTTACCAGGGTGATTGAGCTGCATAGTACTCTTGCTCCACTGGGACAGCCCCACAATAGCCACCATCTTGGCACCCAGGCTGGATCGCCGCTTCTTAGTGGAGGAGAGACTGGCTGAATCGGAATTGCCACCATTGCTCTTCTCTATGTTGTACATTTCTCCACTGATGCTGGAGCTGCGGACCACATTCCTGGCTGCAGAGCTGCTCGTCTCCCCATTCAGCATGGCCACCTGGGTAGACCTCACTGGCTGCGAACCAGATGGGAGAAGCTGCAAGAGAAGAGCAGGAGACATGAAGGAGGAGAAGTTGGTCCCTCTGTTAACAACAGAGGCAGGGAAGGTGCTTTGGGCTGAAAAATAATGTGATCAGTACTCTCTATACTGAGATGTCTCTGAGCCACAGTGGCTGCAGTGGCTAGAGTGCAGTACTGTAGGATACTCCAGCTGACTGCTAGCTGCAGTTCGGCAGTTCAAGTCTCACCAGGCTCAAAGTTGACTCAGCCTTCCATCCTTCTGAGGTGGGTCAAATGAGGACCCAGATTGTTGGGGGCAAAATGCTAACTCTGTAAACCACTTAGAGAAGGGCTGTAAAGCACTGTGAAGCGGTATATAAGTCTAACTCTGTGATGGTGAACCTATGCCACGCACTCCACAGGTGGCATGCAGAGCCCCCTCTGCAGACCCACAAACTGTTGCCCTAGCTCAGCTCTGCTGCGCATGCGTGCATGCCTCCTGCTGGCCAGCTGGTTTTTGGGTCTCTGCCACGCATGCGGGAAATGCGTGTGCATGCGGAGAGGGAGGGTGCATGCATGGGGGGCATATGCAGGGGGTCATGCATGCATGTGCGGGTGCAGGAGTGTGTGTGGGTCGTGCGCACATGCACGGGGGCATCACACATGCATTTCATTATGGGTGCACATGCGCTTTCAGCACTCCATGCCAAAAAGGTTAGCCATCACTGGTCTAAGTGCTATTGCTATATACTTATAGTATATATTACTATATACTATATGCTCTGACCTGAAGCCATATCAACATGGGTCCAGCTAACTCCCTGGAACTATAACCATAGCACTTGGATTTATATACTGCTTCACAGTGCTTTACAGCCCTCTCTAAATGGTTTACAGAATTAGCATACAGTAGAACCTCTGGTCATGAACGCTTCTGACCACGACCAAAAATTGGGTCACAATTTTTTTCCTGCAACTGATTTCCCCTTCTGTGCCATTTTTTTTGTAAGTGCCAAATTTCCAAAATTAGGTTCAGTTCACAACCTAATTGGTTTGCGACCAAAGTTATGGAACAAATTATGGTTGTGACTAGAGGTTCTACTGTATTGCCCCCAACAATCGGGGTCCTTATTTTACCCACCTTGGAAGGATGGAAGGATGAGTCAACCTTGAGCCAGTGAGACCCGAACTGCCGAACTGCTGGCAGCCAGTGATCAGAAGAAATAGTCTGCAGTACTGCGTTCTAACCACTGTGCCACCACGGCTCTTAATATATACCTGGACAAGGAGGAATGGAGACTGAATGAAAATTCTCCAGAACTGTTAGATCCAGCAATGCTTTCTTGAGGTTCCACCACCACCTTGGCAGTGCTGGAGGAAGAATCATTTCATCTCTTGGGCATGAATTTACCATCATGGATGCATCATACATCATCACCTGGGAGGCCTTAATTAACCAGGAAGGTCATGGATCTAATAAGGAGGTGGACCGAGTAACAATTGTGAAGATCCTGTCCACTTCTGTAAGACACTTTCCAGGCAATAGGAAAAAACCAACTCAACTGAACCTGCCCAGAGCCTAATTTAGATGAGATCCAAGTGTCTTTATCCAGCGGAAGACTAGACTATTCCTCATGGAAGCTTTGTAGATAAGTTGGGAGAGGAGGAAGCAAGGGACATTTCCCATTTTTTTATTCTTACAACGACAACCCAGTAATGTGTAACTAATGCCAACTTTTCTAGGGAGTTTTCATGGTTGAGGGAGGTTTCCAAAAGATGCCTTAATTAATTCATGAGCCTCGAGCCAAGTTTCGAAAGAAATTCAGTCATTTATTAGGAACAACATTTCGGCAATACCCAAGTGGAGTCAGATCTGACCTCATTTAAGTTACAGCTGAACTTTGCCCCTGTTTTCCCCCTCCCTTCAGTCTGTGTCATAAATCACATTATCCAACCAAGTGCTCCAGCAGGCTGAGGAATTCCACGCCTCACAAGCCTGCTGTGGTAATCTGAAATCCGACTCTAGCCAAAGGTATGTGTGGAATGTGCTCCCCCCCACCTTTCCTCATATGGCAACTCAATAACAGACATGGAGATGCTTTACGAGTTTGACATGCATCTTGGTCTCTCCACTCCTGGTTCAACCCCTGTACCACCACACCACAATGGCATTACACCACAATAAACTGGCACACAATGTTTATAATACAATTATTTCCCCCACAAGTTGACTCTGCCTGGCAGGAAGGTGTCTGTTGCTTTCTGTTCTGTTCCAAAAGGATAAAATGAACAAGGGATTGCCTGAATTTTAGAAAAGGTCAAAATGCCCATTACTGAAGATACATCCTGGATGCTTTTGCTGGTGAATTTTTATTGGTTTGTTTGTTTTTTGTTTCATTAAAAATGATTATGGTTTATAAATGCCAACCCTTTCTGCTTGTTAAAGTTCATGTCAGAGCGTTCTATTTGTACTGTTGGATGACCAATACCAACCACCAGATACAGTCAGGGGTGGGCTTCAAAAATAGCAGCAATGGGTTTGCTGCCCCGTTGCTTGATGGGCGTGGCCATGGTGGGTGTGGCCTATCAGGGGGAGGGTGTTTTTCACCCTCCCCAGGCTCTAGAGGCTTTCCTCGAGCCTCCGGAAGGGCGAAAACTGCTTCCCCCAGGCTCCAGAAGCTCTCCAGAGGCCAGAAGTAGGACCGTTTTTGAATTTCCAGAACCTCCGGTAGGCCCATTTCCCCCCTCCCTGAGTCTCTGCATGGGGCCTGCACTTATCTGGCATGGTGAATGGGCTGTGTGGAGATTCCTGGGAGGGGAGGGGTAGGAGGGGAAGGGCAGGCAAGGTCAGCCAAGGGTGGCATTTGGGGGTTTGCCGAACTGGGCAGAATCCTAGCTAGAGGATTGCCCAACTGTCATTGTACACTGAAGATCACATTTAATTTTGTTGTACAAGGTGCAATGACAATAAAGTAAACCAACTAACTAAACCAGTGCAGACCTCCAGCAGCCCAACCCTGGATACAGTGAAAGCCAATCCTTTCCCTGCTGGAGATCTAAACGATATTTAATGTTCAAAGGGGGCTTTCTAGGATGCAAGAGTAGAAACGGTAAATATTCTGCACTGCTTCAGGAAGAAGTGATTGACATCCAAAATTCTCAGAATGAATTCAGGAGGACCTGTCTTATAACAGCTCAGTGGGTGGCAGAATACCTTCCTGGAAGTCATAATATGTACTCTAGAATCAGTTCTTCTAATCCCAGAACGCTTGTTATCAGCCTCCACAAACTAAGAAAAACACACTGTGATTCTATGAGCCATGGTGGCACAGTGGTTAGAGTGCAGTACTGCAGGCTACTTCTGCTGACTGTTGGCTGCCTGTAGTTCAAATCTCACCAGGCTCAACGTTGACTCATCCTTCCATCCTTCCAAGGTGGGCAAAGTGAAGACTCCGATTGTTGGGGGCAAGAGGCTGACTCTGTAAACTGCTTAGAGAAGGCTGTTAAGCACTATAAAATGGTATAGAAGTGTAAGTGCTATTGCTATTCTTCGAAGCAGATTTCTTTATTGTTCCTCACTTATAGACAGAATCTTGCCAAACTAAAGCAAATTACCAGCCTTCTACACTATTAGGGAGGAGCTGTCTTCATCCTCTGTCTCTCACACAAGCTATCTGAGTTGTCTCTTGTTCCTCTGAAATGCACTCCTTCTTTCCTGGGAGTATCTTACCTCAGTTAAGCCTGGACAGGGACAGGAGGAGAATATTAGAAACTTAAATTGGTTCCACCTTAATTCTCTTGGTATTAAGAGGACGGGTGGAAAAACAATCTCAGCCTTAAAATATCCCTTGGACTTGAATTTGACACCCCTGCTTTAGCAGAAAAAGACTTATTTTGTTGCATTGTTTGTTTAATTATTTATCAAATTTAGGTACTGGCTATCTCATTCTCTGAGTGACCCTACTTTTTTTGTCTCAACGATTGCTGTTTTTGTGGCTTTGGAGAAATGAATCCTGCTAGCAGGAGCAATAAATTTGTTCATTTTGTTAAAAGCTTTGAACTTCAAATATTATGCAAACTTAGCTAGGCAGCCTGAAACCGAAAACTAACAGAGCTAGCATATCCAGATGACTCAGTTATTGAGATAACAAGCAGTAACATTGCCAGAAATGCATTTGGTGCAGCTTTGCTAGATCTAGAGCTAAAAATGCCCCTATTTCTGTATATTCCTCTGTCACAATTTTGGGCCTGATTACATTTTTTCTAAGAAACATCTTCCCTCCCTTCAAAAGCATTTAATGTAAGTATTTATCTTCTCCAATCTTGTCCATATTTTCCTTCATTACTGATGCTTTGGCTATGGTTTTCCCAATTGCAATGTATGGCTGTGAAGGTTGGACCATAAGAAAGATTGAGAGCCAAAAAATGGAGGCCTTTCAACTCTGGTGCTGAAGAAGACTCCTGTGAGTCCCTTGGATCGCAAGGCAATCAAACTGGTCAGTCCTAGAGGAGATCAACTCTGACTGCTCTTTAGAAAGCCAGAGCCTGAAGAGGAAACTCAAATACTTTGGCCACCTAATCAGAAGGAAGGATTCACTGGAGAAGAGCCNGCAGGGAACACAAGTATTCTCAACAAATTAAGATTTTACAGCAACAGCTATCAACGACAATAAGAAAAATAGGAACAAAATTGAATTATGCGAAACAAATTGGTTTTGAATTTTCTAATAAACCATTTAAGTGGCCCACTTATAAATTACAAAAAGAAAATCATATTGAAATTACCAGAGGGAAATAGTAAACTAACACCTGATGTGGGTATATTAAATATTTTATCATCAGTCTAATTTATACAGAGGGCATGATATTTCGGGGGGGGGGGGAGAGAGCAATATCTCAGAAAACACAATCTACCAAGGTTTACAGAAATACAAGACAAACAATGAACTATAACAAGAAATTTTGAAAGCTATTAAAAAGAGTAAACAGGAAAGGTGGATGGACCAGATGGATGATTATGCCCTAATTATAATCCTT